CCTCTGGAAAAGCGAAGGCTGCGCCTGGGGCCTGCTTCTGCCCCTGCTGCCGCATCTTCCTCTGCTTCCTCTCCGCCGTCTCTGCTCTTTCTGCTCTCTCCGCCCTCTCCTTCCTCCCCACCCTTTCCACCCTCTTCCCCTGTGGCATCACCACACTTACCATGCCCTCTGTGCTTGAAACGGTCCCACGAATGAGGGGGGGAGAGTGCGGGTGGGGTAGCCACTGTAAGGACGAGGGTGCTTTCAGGCGCATCAAGACACAGGGTGGGGGATCAGAGGATCAGCAGTGGGCGCAGTGCTGGGGAAAGTCTTGGTGGCATCAAGCGTGGAGGTTTCTGGCGTGGACGTGTCAGGACACGGCGGCTCACCAGTTGGTGCAGTGGTGAGGGCATCGATGGGTGTCGACGTTTCTACTAGTGCGGTTGTGCGTGGAAGGAGAGGGAGGGAAGGAGGATGAGGGTGACGAGGGGGTGGGAGGCGGGGGAGGGAGGCAGAGGGGCAGAGCGAGAGGGAGGCGAGGAGGCAGGAGGAGCAGCGCGGGCCGATGGGCAGGCAGGTGGTTTGACCGAAGCCCACTAGCAGCGGGTTGATGCCCATCCACTCGTCTTTGGGAAGAAAATCCTCCAGCGCTCGCCTCGTGTCCTCTGGTGTCTTGGCCTGGGGGAGTCGGTGGAAGGGTTGAAGGGAGGGCACGCAGGGGCAGTAGTAACAGATGCACACGTGGACAGCATAGCATGGACCATGCTATCCATGTGTAGAGGGCATCAGATGCTTGCGAGTGTCCACAATGATGCCCTCTACCCCACACAAGTATGGGCAGATGCACACATGGGCACAGGGATAAGTGCGCACCTTGGCATCAGTCCACCCCAGGCGCCGAGCTATCATGTGCACGTGAGTGTCCACACATATGCCCTCCACTCGATCCCATGCCACGTTCATCACCTGTAAGACTGACAGACAGCACGTGGGTATTGGGCAGGGAACATGAGGTTGGGTGAGTGTGGGCACAGGCACACAGTATGGTGCACGTGGTAGCATGAGCAGCGATCCTGTGAACGTGAGTGTCCACACGTATGCGCTCCACGCGCTCCCATGCCACGTTCATCACCTGTGGGACAGGCACACAGTGCGTGTATCTAACCATACCCCATCCATGGAACATGAGTTACGGGGTGTGGGACATGGCTCATGGCATGTGGTTGGGGCATCAGATGTAGCATACGTCATGTGGGGTGTGCGCATGCTTGTGCGTGCATATGGACAAAGTGCTGTATCAAGCCATCCCCGCTTCGACTGTAACTTCTCTCTGCTCCCCTCTACCCTCTTTCCTCCCTCTCCTCCCAAACCTCTCTCTAGCCCTCTCTATTCTCCAACCTCCCCCTCCTTTTCCCACCACTCGCACGCACCAAGTAGGCCATTTTAGGCCCGACGCCAGGCAGCGCAAGCAAATCTTCCAGGCTGCCCGGAATGTCTCCCCCGTGCTTCTCCAGACAGATATTCGCCATTTTCTTTAGGTACCCCGCCTTGCGCACGTAAAAGCCCACCTGTAGGACGTATGGGGGAATGGTGGAGAGAGGTGGGGAGGTGTGCGGAAGGGCAGGAAGGGGTGGAGAGGGATGGAAGCACAGGCGAAGGCAGAACGAAGGCAATGAGAGAACGGATGAGGAAGAGCAGGAGGGAGTGCAAGGGAGGCCGAGGGATGGAGAGAGAGGAGGTGATGGAGAGAGGGTGGTGAAATGGAGAGGAGATGGGGATGGGAAGTGAGAAATGGCACAGACGATGCATGGTGCATGCTTGACCAAGTGTTACAGGGTGAATGCATGCAGATGGCACACACAATGCATGGTGCATGCATGCAGGGTGAATGCTGTGGCTAACAATACATACCGGGTAGATGGTTTGGCTGATTGTCGTTTCGTCTGCTGCCTTGATCGCTTCAGGCGACAGCAGCCCTGCTGCGTGCAGCCGTGCCACTGCGCCTGGTGGTGTGGTGGTGGTTGGGCAAAATAAAACAAAACCTTTTGAGTTGAGTCAGTACTGGCGACAGCAGCCCTGCTGCGTGCAGCCGTGCCACTGCACCTGGTGGTGGTTGGGAGTACAGAAGGGAGGAGGGCAGGGAGGTTTGGATGAACCAGGAACAGTTGGGAGGGAATGGTGGTGAGGAAGGGGTTGGAGAGGGGCAAACGGACGTTGGGTTTGGGATGGAAGGCCACGTGCCACAATGATGGCGAATGTCACAGTGACGCACAGTGCTGCAGTACAGTGAGGTACAGAGAGACACAGTGCGGCACAGTGAGTGACTTGCAATGCAAAGTGTGGCAGATGGCCTTGAAATGACGGGCGGCACACGCATCGTGGGTGTCGGGGTCTTTGGTCTGCGAGGAGAGCATTGCCGACACCAACAAAGGCGCATGCATGTACCGTGCATGGGTGCATTATTACCACCGTGCAGCACACGCCCCTGCAGTACCCTTGCTGCACGCACCGTGGGTGACGGGGTCCTTGGTCTGCGAGGAGAGCATTGCCGACACCAACACAACAAAGCGCCGCTGCTGATTGCAGGACACAAGAGAGAGGTGCGGGGAGAGAGGAGCGAGTGGGCAGGGGTGGAATGGGGAGTAACGGGACATGCACGTACCATGAGTGACGGGGTCCTTTGTCTGTGAGGAGAGCATGGCCGACACCAACACTGCAAAGCGCCGCTGCTGCTCCGAGGAGAGAAGGGGCGAGAGGCAAGGGGAGATGAGCGAGTGGACGGGAGTGCGAAGGGGTAGCGGAGAAAAGCAGGGATGGGAGAGAGGGAGGAGGAGGGGAGGGGGAGATGGGGAGGCAGGAGGGCGGAAAACAAGGTGTGAGAGCCAAGGAAAGAGATGGACCATTCAAAATTTTGTGATTACTATTCCCCAAATACCACTTTCTAGCACATGCCCTACTCTTTTCCCCGTTCAAACTCCCACCTTCTCTGCCATGCCCTGTCAGACCCACCTTGTCCGCCATGCCCTGCCCCGCCTTCTCACACCCCATGCTATCCACAGGAGCGTCTCCTCCACTCCGCATCTCCTTGATTGCTGCTACCACCTCCTGCCACCTCCCCACCCCGGCCCTTTTTGCCTGCCCACCGGAGAATCTTTTCGGCTGCCCGGCCACAACTATTTCCTCCCCAGCTCTGCTGTCTGCGTCTCTCCCTGCCGGCTGCCTTCGTTTCCTCCTGCCCCTGCCACCACCCCAAGCACCCTCAGCCATGCCTTCCGCCTCTACTATAGCCATGTCAGCAGTCTCTGCTACAGCCGTGACTTCAGTCCCAGCTACAGCCACGTCAGCATCTGCCACACATGCTCCCCTGCTTGCCATGTCGCCCGCCTCCTCTCTCTTCACAATCACATCCTCCGCCTCCCTCTTTACAGTCACATCACTCCTTCTCTCTTCACCGGAACATCACCTCCTTCTCTCTTCACTGGCACATCACCTCCTCTCGTTACAACCACACCACCTCCGCTCGTTACAGTCACATCGTCAGACTCTCGTTTCACAACCACATTGCCTGATTGTTGCCTTGCAGTCACCTCCTCTAATTCCCCCTTCACGACCACCTGCGCCGTTCGACCCGCATTGCCTCTTGCCCGTTCCCGCTACAATCATCTTCTTTACACTCCTCTTCATATTGCACAATGACTGTCGGCTTTCTCCCCCCGCGTGCGCGCCTGCTGTAAACTCTTGATCCTGCCGGCCCCATTCTCCCTAATGCTTCGCCATCCCGTGCTCGTTCGCAACTTCCAGCCGGCCCGCCGTCTCCTGCCGGCCCGCCACTGACAGCGCTGACGTGCGCAAAGCGCATAAATTCGTTCATCGGCGCGGGGAAAAGCGCGAAGCGCGCACGGGCGGCGGAGACGAGGGGGAGGAGGGCGCGTGATGCTGCGCTGCGGGAGAGCATTGGGCGCGGGCGCGGGCGCGGGCGCGGGCGCGGGCGCTAACCGAGATTTACGTCGCTACTGGGCGACAATTCTAATACGGTGCAGGGCAGTTCTAATACGGTGCAGGGCAGTTCTAATAAGGTGCAGGGCAGTTCTAATAAGGTGCAGGGCAGTTCTAATAAGGTGCAGGGCACGCGCGTGAGTCGAGCGGACCGCATGAATGATCCGCATTACAGCTGCGCACCCGCACGGCGGTACGCGGTGCCCTCGGTGAGAAGCGCGCCGAGCGCAAAAAGAAATTGAGACGGCGGGAAACCATAAGATTCCTACGGGAAACCGGCAAAAGGGTGGTGGATTGGTCTCGTGGCCCGAGCCTGCGAGGTAAACCCCGGCCGCGCACTCAGCCTCGCTATCCCTCCACCGCTGGGAGCGGGGGGTTTTCGCTGCTCGGTTTCCCGCCTCACGCAGTGCCCCCCTCTTTAACCGCCACGTCACCACCCCTTCCGAGGTAGTGCTGCTGCGGACTCTCAGCTTGGAGCGGACGAGTCATCGATGTGGCAGGCCGGGGGTCTCGCAGATGTGCGACAATCCCAAGGTTTGGCCCCCGCTCGGGTTACAGTCAGGCGCGACCCCGAACGGCGAATTCAGTTGTGGAATTTGCAATACTTATAGAAAGCACAATCACAACAGAATGCTTAGTGGCAACAACTGCCAGCTGGCAAGTCACATGCCTGCCAGCTGTTTGGACCTATCAAAGCGGATCATTTAGAATGGTGAAGTAGCTGAATGAAGGGCACAGCGTATGGTCCAGTCTTGAAATTTTGTTCCCTTGATCCATTTTGACATGCTGCCCACATTTTTTCCAGTAAAAAATGGGCAAGAATAGAAAACACTGCCAGTGCTCCTCTGTTCAACAGCTTCATCACATTCGACAAGAGCAGAGAGAGAAAGCTATGCAGGCTCTGACTATCATTTCCCATAAAGAACAATGACAATCTTTGCAACTATCTTACTGAAGTTTGCCCCTGGCCACTCCCTCGTGTCATTCCTTTCCCCATCCCCACGCCCGCTTCCCACATCCCTCACTCACTCCTGCACCATGCCCTCCTCTGCTACCGCCCCCAACTCCCCTGCCTCCACCTCCCTGTCCCCTCCACCCGCCCACTTACCCACACCACCAGCACCCCGCACCGCCCCTTTCACCACCTCCCCATCCTCGCCCCGGCCGGTACCAGCACCAGCCCCCATTCTCGACGCACGGGCGTCAGACAGAGCAGGGGGGGGCGGCGGGCGAGGGGGGCGGGCATCACGAGAATCTCGGGCATCTCTGGGAAATTCTCGGGCATCTCTAGAAACATCCCTGGGGGCACCTGGAGGGGTATCTCTGGCATCTCTAGAATCTCTGGCATTCCTCCCGCGCTCCCCTCCTGTCCCAGAGCCCTCAGCTCCGCTCTCCATGCGCCCATTGCCGTTGCCTGCATCCTCTCCCCCCTCCTCCCCTCCTTCCTCCCTCACCTGCCCGTTGGGTATCCTGTGTGGGCTGCTCACACCAGAGGCAGGGGCAGAGGCAGGGGCAGAGGCGGGGGCGGAGGAGGAAGGAGGGCCCTCCCCATCTCTCCACCTGCGCTTCCATGCCTCGCTCCTCTCCTCCTCCCTCTCCCCTCCCCTCTCCACGCTCTTCCTAAATCCTCCGTCTCCCCCCTCCCCTCTCCCCCAACCGCCACCAGAAGGCCGGTCTGAATCCCGTCCGTCTGATCTCCTCCGCTCTGCCGTCCACGCCCCACCCCCTCCGCCTCCTCCTTCTCTCCACTCCCTCCCTCTCCCTTTCTCTCTCTCCCTCTCGCCTTCCCGCCCTCTCTCCCTCTCCCGCTCCCGCTCCCACCTCCCCCCTTCCCGAGCCTTAAACGATCGGTTCCCCGAACCATCCATCGCGTCTCGTTGCGCCGGGTCCCGAGCCTCTCTTCCAGGTTCGGAAGCTCGGTGCGGCCTCTGTGTAGGTTCAACAGCAGGTGGTACGGCAGCACCAGGGTCGGAAGTCATTTGGGCACTCCTAGGTTCGGAAGAACCACGCCTGTCTCTCACTCTGTCCCGGGCCCTCTCCCCATCACCTCTCCCCCAACCCCTCGCTTCTCCTTTCACGCCCTTTCCATGCTCCCTATACTCCCTATGATCTCTGTGCTCCCTATGTTCCCTATGGTCCCTATGTTCTCTATGCTCTCTGTGCTCTCTGTGTGCTCTATGCTCGTCCTGCCTGTGCCTGTCATCTCTGTTCCTATCATCTCGGTGCCTCTCATTCCTGTGCTTCTCATCCGGCTCCTTCAAACGCTCATCTCCCCTCCCCCTCTCCTCCCTCCATCTTCTCTCCCTGCTCCTCTCCCTGTCCCTCTCCCTGTCCTTTTCGGAGCCCCTTTCCTTATTCTCCCTCTCCCTCTCCCTATCCTTCTCCCTATCCCTCTCCCTCCCTCTCTCCCTGTCTCTATCCCTCTCCTTCTCCCGATCCCGCTCGCGCTCTCGCTCCTTCTCCCCCCCTTCCTTCCCATCGCTCCCACGGTCATCTCTCAGCTTGCGGTAGATGTCGGCCAGTCGAGTGCCGGACAGGTGCGAGTGCAGAGCCACATAATCCCACAGGTCTTCAGAGATCCCTGAAGGCAGGTGGAAAGGAGGATAGAGGTGGGAAGCGGGTGGAGAGAAGAAAGTAGGGAAACAAGAACGAAAAGAGGTGTGCTGTTGATCCACGGCAGTCAGCAGGTACAGAGAGTCAGTTTGTGTGTGAGAGCAGCAAGCCTGATTGAGAGGCAGGTAGTGGGACAGCGCACGGAGAGGGGGGATAAGGAGAAAGAGGAGGAGGAGAGGGAAAAGGACGATGAGAAGGAGAAAGAGAAGGCAGGAAGCCAGACTCACTCTGTAGGTGCGAGCGTGGGAGTGTGGCATCAGCAGCCTCTCTCTTCAAGACGCTGTCGATCTCATGGCCCAGCTGTCGCAGGTACTTCTTCACCTTCTGCGTCACCTCCTTGGGTGACAGCTCCTGCCGCGTCTGCAGCCGCTTCAGCCGCTGCAGCACACTGTCCTGAGGGGCCAGCCGCCCTTTGCACCACGCCACTCCCCGCCTCCCCTCCCCACCCTCTCCCCCTCCTCCTCCCCCACCTCCAGTTCCTCCTCCTCCAGCCCCTCCCACAACCCCCTCTTCCTCCTTCCCGACCTTGCTCCCTCCTCCGCCTGCTGCTCCCCCTGCTACTGCTGAGGCGGCAGCGGCTGCTGTGGCTGCTGCTGCAGCAGCGGCGTCTTCCCCTTCGGAGATCTCCCCCTCCTCCTTCGCCTCCTCCACCTCCCTCTCCTTTTCCTTCTCCGGTGACCACTTCTCCTTCTCCTCCTCCCTCCTCCCCCGCCGCCGCCCCTCCCTATCCCCACCATGCCTCCTCTCCCTCTCCCTCTCCCCAGCCCCGTCCCTCCCTCGTCCTTTCCGCCCCCTCTCCTCTCTCCCTCTGCGGCCCCCACCCAGAGCAACGGCATCATCAGCGCCAGAAGCAGCAGCAGAGCCAGCAGCAAAGGAGCCCTTGCCTCCTCCGCGCACCTTGATCTTGACCTTTAACGCGTTGGCTGCTGCTGCAGCCTTGGCGTGGTGCGGATCTGCCTCCAGCTCCTGAGGGGGCGGGTTGGAGGGGGGATGGTTGGTGAGGGAAAGATGGTGCGAACACTAATGAAGCGACTCAAAGCTCCTCCACCTCCTCTTCCTCCGCGCACCTTGATCTTGACCTTGAGGGCGTTGGCTGCTGCTGCAGCCTTGGCGTGGTGCGGATCTGCCTCCAGCTCCTGAGGGACCGGGTTGGAGGGGGGATGGTTGGTGAGGGAAAGATGGTGGGGACACCTTGACCTTTAATGCTGAATAATTGGGCATAACGGGCCAGTCGAACGGCAAGCTCGATTAGCTTATTTGTAAGCTAGGGATAATAACCATAATAAAAATTCTTCGTTTTGGCTGCTGCTGCAGCCTTGGCGTGGTGCGGATCTGCCTCCAGCTCCTGAGGGACGCGGTAGGTGGGCGAATGGACGGGGAAAGCAAGGTTGGGGTTTCATGAAACAGGGCTTCAAAGGACGAGTTGAAGGCTTGAGATGCAACAAATGACATGCGGACTTGACTCACACGGACCCACTCACCCTCAATCCAACCCACACTTGCTCGCCCCACACTCACGCTTCACTTACTCCACATTCACCCCTTGATCACCCTTTCAACGTACCCCCTCCCCTCCCTATCCCCTCTCCCTTACCTTGCGCAGCAGGGCAGACGCCCTTGCATCCAAATGACTCCCCCTCGGCAGCTTCCCCTCTCCCCCCCCCCCCCCTCCCCTCTCCCCCTTTTCCCGTACCTTGCGCAGCAGGGCAGACGCCCTTGCATCCAAATGACTCCCCTCGGCAGCTTCCCCTCTCCCTCCCCCTCCCCCTCTCCCCCTTTTCCCGTACCTTGCGCAGCAGGGCAGACGCCCTTGCATCCAAATGACTCCCCCTCGGCAGCTTCCCCTCTCCACCTCCCCCAATCCCACCCGTCGATCCCGGCGGCGCAATCTTATTCTCCAATCCCAGCCGTTCATCCAGCCGAACCTGCTCCCAGTTGCCAAACCCATGGAAATGCACCCCTAGCAGCAGCCTCGCATCATCCACAGGCGTCCACGAAGTGGTCTTGGCCCACGAGGGCACGCGCGCATGCGACCGCAGGCGGAACTGCTTCACAGGGTCGCTCACTCGCTCCACCCGCTTCGCCAGGAACTGTAATTCCTTCACCCGCTGCAGCAGCTCCGGTGCTTTCACAGCCACACCGAAAAAATCCAGCAGAGGGACTTTCCCTGCTGCTGCCCCTCCTGCGGCTGCTGCTGCCGCTGCTGCTGCTGCTCCGCCTGCTCCCAGTGCTTCGTCGTCCTCTGCTGCGGCGGCGGCTCGCACCGTGTCTTTGCAGGCCTGCATGAGCAGGGAGTGGAGGGACCGCCGCTCTGCTTCGCTCGCTGCCTCTAGTGCTCCGCCGGCCTCCGCTGTCATTTGTGCCACCCGCTCCGCTCCCCCGTACCGCCGCACTGCCTTCACGAACGCGTTCGCATCTCGCTTAGACAGCCTCCGAACCCTCACACCACCACCAGCAGCAGCACCAGCAGCAGCAGCACCAGCAGCAGCCTCCCCTGCCCCAGCCCCTGTGGTCCCTCCTGCTGGTGCACCCGCCCCCACCCCTGCCGCTGCCCCTTCCTCCCCAGCAACCCCTCCCCCTCCCCCGTCCCCCTCTCCCTGCACCGTCCATTGAGTAACCCTCACCAGCGCCCCTTCCACAGCAGGCGCAGCAGCAGGATACCCGCCCTCCTCCCCACCCCCATCCCCCTGCTCCCTCCGCCCCCGCTTCCTCTTCCCCCCACCGTCCTTCCCGCCCCGCCTACCGCCCCTGCCCTCCCTTCCATCCTCGTCCTCATCATCCGCCTCCCCCAGCAGCCCATCGCCCGTGTAGGTGGCGTTGCGGCGGGAGGAGCGCGGCCCGAGAGCCTTCTCCTCCTCCGCTGGTGCCGCTTGAATGAGTCGGCTCCAAAACGCGGCATCATTTTCTGTGCTGCTGAAATTCGCCACCTGTGGAAGGGAGGGGGGAGGGGGGAGCGGGCAGCACGGAAGGGAATGAGCGTGGGAGGCAGCTGGATTCCCTGCCCTCTCGCCCCTCCTCGTCCTCATCATCCGCCTCCGCCAGCAGCCCATCGCCCGTGTAGGTGGCGTTGCGGCAGGAGGAGCGCGGGCCGAGAGCCTTCTCCTCCTCTGCTGGTGCTGCCTGGATCAGCCGGCTCCAAAAAGCTGCATCGTTCTCCGTGCTGCTGAAATTCGCCACCTGAGGAAGGGAGGGAAGGAGGGAGGGTGGGGGGAGCGGACAGGAAGGGAATGAGCGTGGGAGGCAGCTGGATTCGCTCCCCTCTCGCCCCTCCTCGTCCTCATCATCCGCCTCCGCCAGCAGCCCATCGCCCGTGTAGGTGGCGTTGCGGCAGGAGGAGCGCGGGCCGAGAGCCTTCTCCTCCTCTGCTGGTGCTGCCTGGATCAGCCGGCTCCAAAAAGCTGCATCGTTCTCCGTGCTGCTGAAATTCGCCACCTGAGGAAGGGAGGGAAGGAGGGAGGGTGGGGGGAGCGGACAGGAAGGGAATGAGCGTGGGAGGCAGCTGGATTCGCTCCCCTCTCGCCCCTCCTCGTCCTCATCATCCGCCTCCGCCAGCAGCCCATCGCCCGTGTAGGTGGCGTTGCGGCAGGAGGAGCGCGGGCCGAGAGCCTTCTCCTCCTCTGCTGGTGCTGCCTGGATCAGCCGGCTCCAAAAAGCTGCATCGTTCTCCGTGCTGCTGAAATTCGCCACCTGAGGAAGGGAGGGAAGGAGGGAGGGTGGGGGGAGCGGACAGGAAGGGAATGAGCGTGGGAGGCAGCTGGATTCGCTCCCCTCTCGCCCCTCCTCGTCCTCATCATCCGCCTCCGCCAGCAGCCCATCACCCGTGTAGGTGGCGTTGCGGCGGGAGGAGCGCGGCCCGAGAACCTTCTCCTCCTCCGCTGGTGCTGCCTGGATGAGGCAACTCCAGAAAGCAGCATCATTCTCCGTGCTGCTGAAATTCGCCACCTGGGAGATAGGGGGAGTAGGGGTTGGGGGGGAAGGTGGGTGGGAGGAGGGGAGGACCGGGAGGATGTGACCAGGGTAAAGGGTAAAGTAAGGAATGAGGAGCGCGGCCCCAGCGCCTTCTCCTCCTCCGCCGGTGCTGCCTGGATGAGGCGACTCCAGAAGGCCGCGTCGTTCTCCGTGCTGCTGAAATTCGCCACCTGGGGTTTGGGGAGAAAGAAGGGGAGTGGCGGGTGGGGGAGGGAACGGGCGGGAGGACGAGAGGAGAGGGAAATAGGGGAAGGAACAAAAGGGGCGCATCCACTCATGCACACAAATATATGTCCACGCCCACCCATGCATGCGTGCGTGCATCGCACACGTACACACTCCCAATTCCACTCTCCTCACCCACTCCCACTCATCAAGCCACTCCCACTCATCAAGCCACTCCCACTTGTCACACACTCCCTTAACCGACTCACAGTGAAGGCAGAGAGCAGTTCATTAGCGCCCTCCCCAGCAGTGCTGCTGTCGATCTTCTCAGCGCGTGCCAGGATCTCATCAATGTCCAGATTCTCCAACCGGCTCGCCCCCTCCTCCTCGCTCACTTTCTCCTTGAACAGCTCCTCTGCTCCGAACCGCAGAATGGCCGCCAACTCGTTCTGGAGGAGACAGGGACAGGGAATGAGAGTATGGACAGGGACAGGGACAGGAAGTAAGGGCATGAGTGATGTTTATGTGGTGAAGAGGCTCGCCCCCTCCTCCTCGCTCACTTTCTCCTTAAACAACTCCTCTGCCCCAAACCGCAGAATGGCCGCCAGCTCGTTTTGGAAGAGGAAGGGAGAGGGAATAGGGGTACGAGTGCTGTTTACGGTGTAAAGAGGCTTGCACCCTCCTCCTCACCGACACTATCCTACCGCATCCCCACCACGCCCCGCCCTTCCCAACCCTGCACTGCACCACCGCACTGCACCTTATCAAACATGGAGCTGCTCTTCTTGCTCTGAGTCTTCTCCAGGCGGTCAGCAGCATTGAGCTTCTGGATGACGAGGTGGTCCAGCACCATCTTGCGCTAGGCGCCCACTACCCTCAACCCACTACCACCACACCCAACCGCATCCCACCTTATCGAACATGGAGCTGCTCTTCTTGCTGGTGGTCTTCTCCAATCGCCCAGCCGCATTAAGCTTCTGGATGACGAGGTGGTCCAGCACCATCTTGCGCTTGGCGCGCTCCAATATGTCCTCCTCCACACTGCCACTCGTCACGAACCGGTAGATGTTCACCACGTCCTGTTGGCCTATTCTGTGAGCGCGGCTCATGGCCTGGTGGAAGGAGGAAAGAGGTGGAGAAGGAAGGGAGATGAAAGAGAGATACGGATATGATGTGGGTGGAAGGTGTGGAAGGGAGGCCAATATGTCCTCCTCCACGCTGCCACTAGTCACGAACCGGTAGATGTTCACCACGTCCTGCTGCCCTATGCAACAGCACGGCTCATGGCCTGGTGAGAAGGGGGCAAGGCAATGTGGGACAAGGCGGAGCATCAAGACACATGGTCTGAGGCGACTCAACCTTCCACACACCACCCTCCTCCACGCTGCCGCTCGTCACAAGGTGGATGCTCACCACAACCTGCTGCCCTATGCGGTGCGCTCGACGGCCCATGGCCTGGTGGGGGGAGAATGGGGAGCCTCAGTTCCTCCCTCAGTCCCTCCCTCAGTTCCTCCCTCAGTTCCTCCCTCAGTTCCTCCCTCAGTCCCTCCCTCAGTCCCTCCTTCAGAGTCCCTTCCTCCCTCAGTTCCTCCCTCAGTCCCTCCCTCAGTTCCTCACTCAGCCCCTCCCTCAGTCCCTCCCTCAGTTCCTCCCTCAGTTCCTCCCTCAGTTCCTCCCTCAGTCCCTCCCTCAGTCCCTCCCTCAGTCCCTCCCTCAGTTCCTCCCTCAGTTCCTCCCTCAGTTCCTTCCTCCCTCAGTCCCTCCCTCAGTTCCTCCCTCAGTCCCTCCCTCAGTTCCTCCCTCAGTTCCTCCCTCAGTTCCTCCCTCAGTTCCTGCCTCAATTCCTTCCTCCCTCAGTTTATCCCTCAGTTCCTCCCTCAGTTCCTTCCTCCCTCGGACCCTCCCTCAGTTCCTCCCTCAGTCCCTCCCTCAGTCCCTCCCTCAGTTCCTCCCTCAGTTCCTCCCTCAGTCCCTCCCTCAGTCCCTCCCTCAGTTCCTCCCTCAGTTCCTTCCTCCCTCAGTTCCTCCCTCAGTTCCTCCCTCAGTTCCTTCCTCCCTCAGTTCCTTCCTCCCTCAGTTCCTCCCTCAGTTCCTCCCTCAGTTCCTTCCTCCCTCAGTTCCTCCCTCAGTTCCTCCCTCAGTTCCTCCCTCAGTCCCTCCCTCAGTTCCTCCCTCAGTTCCTCCCTCAGTTCCTCCCTCAGTTCCTCCCTCAGTCCCTCCCTCAGTCCCTCCCTCAGTCCCTCCCTCAGTTCCTCCCTCAGTTCCTCCCTCAGTTCCTTCCTCCCTCAGTTCCTCCCTCAGTTCCTCCCTCAGTTCCTCCCTCAGTCCCTCCCTCAGTCCCTCCCTCAGTTCCTCCCTCAGTTCCTCCCTCAGTCCCTCCCTCAGTTCCTTCCTCCCTCAGTTCCTCCCTCAGTTCCTCCCTCAGTTCCTCCCTCAGTCCCTCCCTCAGTTCCTCCCTCAGTTCCTTCCTCCCTCAGTTCCTCCCTCAGTTCCTCCCTCAGTCCCTCCCTCAGTCCCTCCCTCAGTCCCTCCCTCAGTTCCTCCCTCAGTCCCTCCCTCAGTCCCTCCCTCAGTCCCTCCCTCAGTTCCTCCCTCAGTCCCTCCCTCAGTTCCAGCCTCAATTCCTTCCTCCCTCAGTTCCTCCCTCAGTTCCTCCCTCAGTTCCTCCCTCAGTCCCTCCCTCAGTTCCTCCCTCAGTTCCTCCCTCAGTTCCTCCCTCAGTCCCTCCCTCAGTCCCTCCCTCAGTTCCTCCCTCAGTTCCTTCCTCCCTCAGTCCCTCCCTCAGTTCCTGCCTCAATTCCTTCCTCCCTCAGTTCCTCCCTCAGTTCCTCCCTCAGTTCCTCCCTCAGTCCCTCCCTCAGTTCCTCCCTCAGTTCCTCCCTCAGTTCCTCCCTCAGTTCCTCCCTCAGTCCCTCCCTCAGTTCCTCCCTCAGTTCCTCCCTCAGTCCCTCCCTCAGTTCCTTCCTCCCTCAGTTCCTCCCTCAGTTCCTCCCTCAGTTCCTCCCTCAGTCCCTCCCTCAGTCCCTCCCTCAGTTCCTCCCTCAGTTCCTCCCTCAGTTCCTCCCTCAGTTCCTTCCTCCCTCAGTTCCTCCCTCAGTTCCTCCCTCAGTCCCTCCCTCAGTTCCTCCCTCAGTCCCTCCCTCAGTCCCTCCCTCAGTTCCTCCCTCAGTTCCTTCCTCCCTCAGTCCCTCCCTCAGTTCCTGCCTCAATTCCTTCCTCCCTCAGTTCCTCCCTCAGTTCCTCCCTCAGTTCCTCCCTCAGTCCCTCCCTCAGTTCCTCCCTCAGTTCCTCCCTCAGTTCCTCCCTCAGTTCCTCCCTCAGTCCCTCCCTCAGTTCCTCCCTCAGTTCCTCCCTCAGTCCCTCCCTCAGTTCCTTCCTCCCTCAGTTCCTCCCTCAGTTCCTCCCTCAGTTCCTCCCTCAGTCCCTCCCTCAGTCCCTCCCTCAGTCCCTCCCTCAGTTCCTCCCTCAGTTCCTCCCTCAGTTCCTCCCTCAGTCCCTCCCTCAGTCCCTCCCTCAGTCCCTCCCTCAGTCCCTCCCTCAGTTCCTCCTTCAGTTCCTCACTCAGCTCCTTCCTCCCTCAGTTCCTCCCTCAGTCCCTCCCTCAGTTCCTCCCTCAGTTCCTCCCTCAGTCCCTCCCTCAGTTCCTTCCTCCCTCAGTTCCTCCCTCAGTTCCTCCCTCAGTTCCTCCCTCAGTTCCTCCCTCAGTCCCTCCCTCAGTTCCTTCCTCCCTCAGTTCCTCCCTCAGTCCCTCCCTCAGTCCCTCCCTCAGTCCCTCCCTCAGTCCCTCCCTCAGTTCCTCCCTCAGTTCCTCCCTCAGTTCCTTCCTCCCTCAGTTCCTCCCTCAGTTCCTTCCTCCCTCAGTTCCTCCCTCAGTCCCTCCCTCAGTTCCTCCCTCAGTCCCTCCCTCAGTTCCTCCCTCAGTTCCTCCCTCAGTTCCTCCCTCAGTCCCTCCCTCAGTTCCTCCCTCAGTTCCTTCCTCCCTCAGTTCCTCCCTCAGTCCCTCCCTCAGTTCCTCCCTCAGTTCCTCCCTCAGTTCCTCCCTCAGTCCCTCCCTCAGCCCCTTCCGCCCTTCCTTCCTCCCTCAGTCCCTCCCTCAGTCCCTCCCTCAGTCCCTCCCTCAGTTCCTCCCTCAGCCCCTTCCGCCCTCGGTTCCTCCCTCAGTTCCTCCCTCAGTTCCTCCCTCAGTCCCTCTCTCAGTTCCTTCCTCCCTCAGTTCCTCCCTCAGTTCCTTCCTCCCTCAGTCCCTCCCTCTGTTCATCCCTCTGTCCCTCCCTCAGTTCCTCCCTCAGTCCCTCCCTCAGTTCCTCCCTCAGTTCCTCCCTCAGTTCCTCCCTCAGTCCCTCCCTCAGTCCCTCCCTCAGTTCCTCCCTCAGTTCCTTCCTCCCTCAGTTCCTCCCTCAGTTCCTCCCTCAGTTCCTCCCTCAGTTCCTCCCTCAGTTCCTCCCTCAGTTCCTCCCTCAGTTCCTCCCTCAGTTCCTCCCTCAGTTCCTCCCTCAGTTCCTCCCTCAGTCCCTCCCTCAGTTCCTTCCTCCCTCAGTTCCTCCCTCAGTTCCTTCCTCCCTCAGTTCCTCCCTCAGTTCCTCCCTCAGTCCCTCTCTCAGTTCCTTCCTCCCTCAGTTCCTCCCTCAGTTCCTTCCTCCCTCAGTCCCTCCCTCTGTTCATCCCTCTGTCCCTCCCTCAGTTCCTCCCTCAGTCCCTCCCTCAGTTCCTCCCTCAGTTCCTCCCTCCCTCAGTTCCTCCCTCAGTTCCTTCCTCCCTCAGTTCCTCCCTCAGTTCCTCCCTCAGTTCCTCCCTCAGTTCCTCCCTCAGTCCCTCCCTCAGTTCCTCCCTCAGTCCCTCCCTCAGTCCCTCCCTCAGTTCCTCCCTCAGTTCCTCCCTCAGTCCCTCCCTCAGTTCCTCCCTCAGTTCCTTCCTCCCTCAGTTCCTCCCTCAGTTCCTTCCTCAGTTCCTCCCTCAATCCCTCCCTCAGTTCCTTCCTCCCTCAGTTCCTCCCTCAGTTCCTCCCTCAGTTCCTCCCTCAGTTCCTCCCTCAGTTCCTCCCTCAATCACTCCCTCAGTTCCTCCCTCAGTTCCTCCCTCAGTCCCTCCCTCAGTTCCTCCCTCAGTTCCTTCCTCCCTCAGTTCCTCCCTCAGTTCCTCCCTCAGTCCCTCCCTCAGTCCCTCCCTCAGTTCCTCCCTCAGTTCCTCCCTCAGTTCCTCCCTCAGTTCCTCCCTCAGTCCCTCCCTCAGTTCCTCCCTCAGTTCCTCCCTCAGTTCCTCCCTCAGTTCCTCCCTCAGTCCCTCCCTCAGTTCCTCCCTCAGTTCCTCCCTCAGTCCCTCCCTCAGTTCCTCCCTCAGTTCCTTCCTCCCTCAGTTCCTCCCTCAGTTCCTCCCACAGTTCCTCCCTCAGTCCCTCCCACAGTCCCTCCCTCAGTCTCTCCGTCAGTTCCTCCCTCAGTTCCTCCTCAGCTCCTTCCTCCCTCAGTTCCTCCCTCAGTCCCTCCCTCAGTTCCTCCCTCAGTTCCTCCCTCAGTTCCTCCCTCAGTTCCTCCCTCAGTTCCTCCCTCAGTCCCTCCCTCAGTTCCTCCCTCAGTTCCTCCCTCAGTTCCTCCCTCAGTTCCTTCCTCCCTCAGTTCCTCCCTCAGTTCCTCCCTCAGTTCCTCCCTCAGTTCCTCCCTCAGTCCCTCCCTCAGTTCCTTCCTCCCTCAGTTCCTCCCTCAGTCCCTCCCTCAGTTCCTCCCTCAGTTCCTCCCTCAGTCCCTCCCTCAGTCCCTCCCTCAGTCCCTCCCTCAGTTCCTCCCTCAGTTCCTCCCTCAGTTCCTTCCTCCCTCAGTTCCTCCCTCAGTTCCTTCCTCCCTCAGTTCCTCCCTCAGTCCCTCCCTCAGTTCCTCCCTCAGTCCCTCCCTCAGTTCCTCCCTCAGTTCCTCCCTCAGTTCCTCCCTCAGTCCCTCCCTCAGTTCCTCCCTCAGTTCCTTCCTCCCTCAGTTCCTCCCTCAGTCCCTCCCTCAGTTCCTCCCTCAGTTCCTCCCTCAGTTCCTCCCTCAGTCCCTCCCTCAGTTCCTCCCTCAGTTCCTTCCTCCCTCAGTCCCTCCCTCAGTCCCTCCCTCAGTTCCTCCCTCAGTCCCTCCCTCAGTTCCTCCCTCAGTTCCTCCCTCAGCCCCTTCCGCCCTCGGTTCCTCCCTCAGTTCCTCCCTCAGTTCCTCCCTCAGTTCCTCCCTCAGTTCCTTCCTCCCTCAGTTCCTCCCTCAGTTCCTTCCTCCCTCAGTTCCTCCCTCAGTTCCTTCCTCCCTCAGTCCCTCCCTCTGTTCATCCCTCTGTCCCTCCCTCAGTTCCTCCCTCAGTCCCTCCCTCAGTTCCTCCCTCAGTTCCTCCCTCAGTTCCTCCCTCAGTTCCTTCCTCCCTCAGTTCCTCCCTCAGTTCCTCCCTCAGTCCCTCCCTCAGTCCCTCCCTCAGTTCCTCCCTCAGTTCCTTCCTCCCTCAGTTCCTCCCTCAGTTCCTCCCTCAGTTCCTCCCTCAGTTCCTCCCTCAGTTCCTCCCTCAGTTCCTCCCTCAGTTCCTCCCTCAGTTCCTCCCTCAGTTCCTCCCTCAGTCCCTCCCTCAGTCCCTCCCTCAGTCCCTCCCTCAGTTCCTCCCTCAGTCCCTCCCTCAGTTCCTCCCTCAGTTCCTCCCTCAGTCCCTCCCTCAGTTCCTCCCTCAGTTCCTTCCTCCCTCAGTTCCTCCCTCAGTCCCTCCCTCAGTTCCTCCCTCAGTTCCTCCCTCAGTTCCTCCCTCAGTCCCTCCCTCAGTTCCTCCCTCAGTTCCTTCCTCCCTCAGTCCCTCCTCAGTCAGTCTCTCCCTCCCTCAGTCCCTCCCTCAGTCCCTCCCTCAGTCCCTCCCTCAGTTCCTCCCTCAGTTCCTCCCTCAGTTCCTCCCTCAGTCCCTCCCTCAGTTCCTCCCTCAGTTCCTTCCTCCCTCAGTCCCTCCCTCAGTCCCTCCCTCAGTTCCTCCCTCAGTCCCTCCCTCAGTTCCTCCCTCAGTTCCTCCCTCAGCCCCTTCCGCCCTCGGTTCCTCCCTCAGTTCCTCCCTCAGTTCCTCCCTCAGTTCCTCCCTCAGTTCCTTCCTCCCTCAGTTCCTCCCTCAGTTCCTTCCTCCCTCAGTTCCTCCCTCAGTTCCTTCCTCCCTCAGTCCCTCCCTCTGTTCATCCCTCTGTCCCTCCCTCAGTTCCTCCCTCAGTCCCTCCCTCAGTTCCTCCCTCAGTTCCTCCCTCAGTTCCTCCCTCAGTTCCTTCCTCCCTCAGTTCCTCCCTCAGTTCCTCCCTCAGTCCCTCCCTCAGTCCCTCCCTCAGTTCCTCCCTCAGTTCCTTCCTCCCTCAGTTCCTCCCTCAGTTCCTCCCTCAGTTCCTCCCTCAGTTCCTCCCTCAGTTCCTCCCTCAGTTCCTCCCTCAGTTCCTCCCTCAGTTCCTCCCTCAGTTCCTCCCTCAGTCCCTCCCTCAGTCCCTCCCTCAGTCCCTCCCTCAGTTCCTCCCTCAGTCCCTCCCTCAGTTCCTCCCTCAGTTCCTCCCTCAGTCCCTCCCTCAGTTCCTCCCTCAGTTCCTTCCTCCCTCAGTTCCTCCCTCAGTCCCTCCCTCAGTTCCTCCCTCAGTTCCTCCCTCAGTTCCTCCCTCAGTCCCTCCCTCAGTTCCTCCCTCAGTTCCTTCCTCCCTCAGTCCCTCCCTCAGTCCCTCCCTCAGTCCCTCCCTCAGTCTCTCCTCAGTCCCTCCCTCAGTTCCTCCCTCAGTTCCTCCCTCAGTTCCTCCCTCAGTCCCTCCCTCAGTTCCTCCCTCAGTTCCTTCCTCCCTCAGTTCCTCCCTCAGTCCCTCCCTCAGTTCCTCCCTCAGTTCCTCCCTCAGTTCCTCCCTCAGTCCCTCCCTCAGTTCCTCCCTCAGTTCCTTCCTCCCTCAGTCCCTCCCTCAGTCCCTCCCTCAGTTCCTCCCTCAGTTCCTCCCTCAGTTCCTTCCTCCCTCAGTTCCTCCCTCAGTTCCTCCCTCAGTCCCTCCCTCAGTCCCTCCCTCAGTCCCTCCCTCAGTTCCTCCCTCAGTCCCTCCCTCAGTTCCTCCCTCAGTTCCTCCCTCAGTTCCTCCCTCAGTCCCTCCCTCAGTTCCTCCCTCAGTTCCTTCCTCCCTCAGTTCCTCCCTCAGTCCCTCCCTCAGTTCCTCCCTCAGTTCCTCCCTCAGTTCCTCCCTCAGTCCCTCCCTCAGTTCCTCCCTCAGTTCCTTCCTCCCTCAGTCCCTCCCTCAGTCCCTCCCTCAGTTCCTCCCTCAGTCCCTCCCTCAGTTCCTCCCTCAGTTCCTCCCTCAGTCCCTCCCTCAGTTCCTTCCTCCCTCAGTTCCTCCCTCAGTTCCTTCCTCCCTCAGTTCCTCCCTCAGTCCCTCCCTCAGTTCCTCCCTCAGTCCCTCCCTCAGTTCCTCCCTCAGTTCCTCCCTCAGTTCCTCCCTCAGTCCCTCCCTCAGTTCCTCCCTCAGTTCCTTCCTCCCTCAGTTCCTTCCTCCCTCAGTTCCTCCCTCAGTCCCTCCCTCAGTTCCTCCCTCAGTTCCTCCCTCAGTTCCTCCCTCAGTCCCTCCCTCAGTTCCTCCCTCAGTTCCTTCCTCCCTCAGTCCCTCCCTCAGTCCCTCCCTCAGTTCCTCCCTCAGTCCCTCCCTCAGTTCCTCCCTCAGTTCCTCCCTCAGCCCCTTCCGCCCTCGGTTCCTCCCTCAGTTCCTCCCTCAGTTCCTCCCTCAGTTCCTTCCTCCCTCAGTTCCTCCCTCAGTTCCTTCCTCCCTCAGTTCCTCCCTCAGTTCCTTCCTCCCTCAGTCCCTCCCTCTGTTCATCCCTCTGTCCCTCCCTCAGTTCCTCCCTCAGTCCCTCCCTCAGTTCCTCCCTCAGTTCCTCCCTCAGTTCCTCCCTCAGTTCCTTCCTCCCTCAGTTCCTCCCTCAGTTCCTCCCTCAGTCCCTCCCTCAGTCCCTCCCTCAGTTCCTCCCTCAGTTCCTTCCTCCCTCAGTTCCTCCCTCAGTTCCTCCCTCAGTTCCTCCCTCAGTTCCTCCCTCAGTTCCTCCCTCAGTTCCTCCCTCAGTTCCTCCCTCAGTTCCTCCCTCAGTTCCTCCCTCAGTCCCTCCCTCAGTCCCTCCCTCAGTCCCTCCCTCAGTTCCTCCCTCAGTCCCTCCCTCAGTTCCTCCCTCAGTTCCTCCCTCAGTTCCTCCCTCAGTCCCTCCCTCAGTTCCTCCCTCAGTTCCTTCCTCCCTCAGTTCCTCCCTCAGTCCCTCCCTCAGTTCCTCCCTCAGTTCCTCCCTCAGTTCCTCCCTCAGTCCCTCCCTCAGTTCCTCCCTCAGTTCCTTCCTCCCTCAGTCCCTCCCTCAGTCCCTCCCTCAGTCCCTCCCTCAGTTCCTCCCTCAGTTCCTCCCTCAGTTCCTCCCTCAGTCCCTCCCTCAGTTCCTCCCTCAGTTCCTTCCTCCCTCAGTTCCTCCCTCAGTCCCTCCCTCAGTTCCTCCCTCAGTTCCTCCCTCAGTTCCTCCCTCAGTCCCTCCCTCAGTTCCTCCCTCAGTTCCTTCCTCCCTCAGTCCCTCCCTCAGTCCCTCCCTCAGTTCCTCCCTCAGTTCCTCCCTCAGTTCCTTCCTCCCTCAGTTCCTCCCTCAGTTCCTCCCTCAGTCCCTCCCTCAGTCCCTCCCTCAGTCCCTCCCTCAGTTCCTCCCTCAGTCCCTCCCTCAGTTCCTCCCTCAGTTCCTCCCTCAGTTCCTCCCTCAGTCCCTCCCTCAGTTCCTCCCTCAGTTCCTTCCTCCCTCAGTTCCTCCCTCAGTCCCTCCCTCAGTTCCTCCCTCAGTTCCTCCCTCAGTTCCTCCCTCAGTCCCTCCCTCAGTTCCTCCCTCAGTTCCTTCCTCCCTCAGTCCCTCCCTCAGTCTCTCTCCTCAGTTCCTCCCTCAGTCCCTCCCTCAGTTCCTCCCTCAGTTCCTCCCTCAGCCCCTTCCGCCCTCGGTTCCTCCCTCAGTTCCTCCCTTTTTTCCTCCCTCAGTTCCTCCCTCAGTCCCTCCCTCAGTTCCTCCCTCAGTCCCTCCCTCAGTCCCTCCCTCTGTTCATCCCTCTGTCCCTCCCTCAGTTCCTCCCTCAGTCCCTCCCTCAGTTCCTCCCTCAGTTCCTCCCTCAGTTCCTCCCTCAGTTCCTCCCTCAGTTCCTCCCTCAGTTCCTCCCTCAGTTCCTCCCTCAGTCCCTCCCTCAGTCCCTCCCTCAGTCCCTCCCTCAGTTCCTCCCTCAGTCCCTCCCTCAGTTCCTCCCTCAGTTCCTCCCTCAGTTCCTCCCTCAGTCCCTCCCTCAGTTCCTCCCTCAGTTCCTTCCTCCCTCAGTTCCTCCCTCAGTCCCTCCCTCAGTTCCTCCCTCAGTTCCTCCCTCAGTTCCTCCCTCAGTCCCTCCCTCAGTTCCTCCCTCAGTTCCTTCCTCCCTCAGTCCCTCCCTCAGTCCCTCCCTCAGTTCCTCCCTCAGTCCCTCCCTCAGTTCCTCCCTCAGTTCCTCCCTCAGCCCTTCCGCCCTCGGTTCCTCCCTCAGTTCCTCCCTCAGTTCCTCCCTCAGTTCCTTCCTCCCTCAGTTCCTCCCTCAGTTCCTTCCTCCCTCAGTTCCTCCCTCAGTTCCTTCCTCCCTCAGTCCCTCCCTCTGTTCATCCCTCTGTCCCTCCCTCAGTTCCTCCCTCAGTTCCTCCCTCAGTTCCTCCCTCAGTCACTTCCGCCCTCGGTTCCTCCCTCAGTTCCTCCCTCAGTTCCTCCCTCAGTTCCTCCCTCAGTTCCTCCCTCAGTTCCTTCCTCCCTCAGTTCCTCCCTCAGTTCCTCCCTCAGTCCCTCCCTCAGTCCCTCCCTCAGTTCCTCCCTCAGTTCCTCCCTCAGTTCCTCCCTCAGTTCCTCCCTCAGTTCCTCCCTCAGTTCCTCCCTCAGTCCCTCCCTCAGTCCCTCCCTCAGTCCCTCCCTCAGTACCTTCGTCCCCGCATGATATCCTCTGCAGGTCCTTTCCTGGTTCCTCACCTGCAGGTCGTTCTGCGGGTTCCAGTCGGAGTCAAAGATAATAACCGTGTCCGCCGTGGCGAGGTTGATCCCCAATCCACCAGCACGCGTGGAGAGCAAGAAGCAGAAGTCGTCACTGCCAGGCGCGTTGAAGTGCTCCATTGCCTGCTGCCGCAGGTCCGCCCTCGTGCTGCCGTCCAGGCGCTGGAACTGGAAGCCACGCAAAGCCAGGTAGTCGGCTAGAATGTCCAACATGCGCACCATCTGAGAGTTTAGGGGGATTAGGGGGAAAAGAGGTAATGGATGATGAAGGATGAGAAATAACTAAATTGGTCAACACGTGGCTACAGTGACACTCCCTCCCATGCACACAGCATCAGCACCTCTTGAACTGCCTCAATCTAGCTGCACCTTCAGTAGGCACAAATTAAACAACCAAATCAAACCAGATAACACCCACCTGGGAGAAGATAAGCACGCGGTGTCCCGTCTCTTTGAGCCGAGTGAGCAGCTTATCCAGCAGAGTCGTCTTCCCACTGCCCAGCACGATCCGCTGCGCCTTGCCCTGCGCATCCAGCGCCCCTCCAGCCGCCCTTTCAGCTGCCCCAAGATCAAACCATACCAAATAACACCCACCTGGGAGAAGATGAGAACACGGTGGCCCGTTTCTTTGAGCCGAGTGAGCAGCTTATCCAGCAGAGTCGTCTTCCCACTGCCAGCACGATCCGCTGCGCCTTGCCCTGCGCATCCAGCGCCCCTCCAGCCGCCCTTTCAGCTGCCCCAGATCAAACCATACCAAATAACACCCACCTGGGAGAAGATGAGAACACGGTGGCCCGTTCTTTGAGCCGAGTGAGCAGCTTATCCAGCAGAGTCGTCTTCCCACTGCCCAGCACGATCCGCTGCGCCTTGCCCTGCGCATCCAGCGCCCCGGCCGCCGCCCCGCCCCCATAGCCGTAGTCAGCGCTCTCGAAGAGGAAGGGGTGGTTGCAGCACTTCTTGAGCTCTGCCACAATGTTAAGGAGGGACACCTGGTTGCTGCGCGCGTTCTTGTTCAGGTCCTGAAAGTTGCGCTCCAGTATCCACTTGTAGTATCTGCCGGGGGAGGGGGGGAAGGCGGGGGAGGAAGGGGAGAGTGAACGTATGTGAGGAGAGAATGAGAGGGCGGGTGGTTGCTTGAAGACCCGCCCCTCCGTAGCCATAGTCAGCACTCTCGAAGAGGAAGGGGTGGTTGCAGCACTTCTTGAGCTCTGCTACAATGTTGAGAAGGGAGACCTGGTTGCTGCGCGCGTTCTTGTTCAGGTCCTGAAAGTTGCGCTCCAGAATCCACTTGTAGTACCTGGGGGGGCGGGGCGGAAAGGCGGGGGAAGAAGGGGAGAGTGAGAAGGCATGTGAGAATGAGAGAAGGGGTGGTTGCTTGCAGCACCACCCCCGTAGCCGTAGTCAGCGCTCTCAAAGAGGAAGGGGTGGTTGCAGCACTTCTTGAGCTCTGCCACGATGTTAAGGAGAGACACCTGGTTGCTGCGCGCGTTCTTGTTCAGGTCCTGGAAGTTGCGCTCCAGAATCCACTTGTAGTACCTGCAGGAGGGAGGGGGGAAGGTTCGGGAGAGAGGGTAAGGGGGAGTGGGCAAGAAGAGAGGAGTACAGGAAAGGGAGGGCGAAAACGCCACCCACTTTTGTTTTGCAGGGAGGAGCAAACAAAAAATGGACACTCACTGTTTCTGCAGCGGCGACATTTCGACGCGCAGGATGCGTTCAATCTTGGGCGGCAGCGACTTCTCGACGTCCTTGATCACCCGCCGCAACATGTGCGGGCGCAGCTCCTGGTGCAGTGACGTGATCTGAGAAAGGGGGGAAGTGGGCAAGGGGGGGGGAGAGGGGCGAGGACGGGGGGAAGGGGAGGGTGGGGAGGGCCCGGGGGTTGAGAATGAAGATGTGAGGTGCAGCTGCAGCTGCTGGTGCAGCTATGTAATTTGGTGGACGATTGAGGAAGAGGCAAGAACCGGAAGCCACCGGAAGAAACGCAGAAGCCCAAGCGGAAATGCAGCACTTTGCCCTCACTCATTTCTCCATTTTCTACTCCCTGCTCTCCCTTCAATTCCTCCTTGCTCTCCCCTCCCTCACCTCCTCCTTGTTCGCCCATCACGCCCCCCTCCCCTCCCCTCACCTCCTGCCCTCACCTCCTTCTCGCTCTGGTTCTCGAGCAGGTGTTTGTACTTGGCTGAGAACTCCTCCTTGTCGGCAAACTTCTTGTCGTCCAGGAAATGCAGCAGCGCCCTGGGGGGAGAACGGGGGGGGACGGGGGGGAGAGGGAAGTGGGTGGGTGGTAGGAAGAGAAATAAGGGCGAGGATAGGACTGCTTATGAACGGGGGATGGGCGGAGGAAGGACAACGGGAGGGGGAGGGGGAGGGGAGGGAGGCCAGGGGGGGTTGGAAGGAGGAGAAAGTGTAAAACGAGAAGTGGGGGGAAAGACAAGAGAGACAAAGGTGGTGCACTCATGTGCGACAAGTGTTGATAATCACACCTCAGCTGCCACTTTACAGCTCCCCCACAGTAACGACACTCACCAGAGCTCCTCCACGCTGTTCTGCAGGGGCGTGCCGGTGATCAGCAGCTTGTTGCGCGCATGGAAGCTCTGGGGGAAGGAGGGAGAATGGAGGATAGAGAGTGGAGTGATGTTGAGTCGACATTAATATGTGGGTGCAGGCCACCAGACAGCAGCCGCAGCCTGCACTGCACTATATGCTTATAAGGTACTTCTAGAGAATGAATAGCCTAGCTTACAATGAGCGTGGTATAGAGAGCCGCCTCGCTGTTCTTGAGTCGATGAGCCTCGTCCACCATGAGGTAGGTCCAGCGGATGGGCGCCAGCACGGCCTTGTCCTTTAGGACCAGAGTGCAGCTACTTACACTTATGTGTGGCGTGCAGGAGAGCTTACAATGAGCGTAGTATAGAGTGCTGCTTCGGAGTTCTTGAGTCGATGAGCCTCGTCCACCATGAGGTAGGTCCAGCGGATGGGCGCCAGCACGGCCTTGTCCTTTAGGACCAGAGTGCAGCTACTTACACTTATGTGTGGCGTGCAGGAGAGCTTACAATGAGCGTAGTATAGAGTGCTGCTTCGGAGTTCTTGAGTCGATGAGCCTCGTCCACCATGAGGTAGGTCCAGCGGATGGGCGCCAGCACAGCACAGCCTTGTCCTTCAGGACCAGAGTGCTGCTACTTACGCTTATGTGTGGTGTGCAGGGCAGCTTACAATGAGTGTGGTATAGAGCGCCGCTTCAGAGTTCTTGAGGCGATGCGCCTCGTCCACCATGAGGTAGTTCCAGCGGATGGGGGCGAGCACGGCCTTGTCCTTGAGCACCACCTCGTACGTTGTCAGCAGCGCATGGAACTTGGTTTGCCGCCCGCCCTTCCTGCCCGCTGCCTGCCAGAACTCGTACTGCTGCACCACCTGGTGGTCGGAGGTGGGGATGGGGGAAGGGAAGAGGGGGAGGGGGGAGTGGGTGGCAAATGGGGGCAGCGGGGCAGGGACGCAAGGAGGGGATTCGAGAGTGGGAGCAGCAGTGTTGCATAGGGGCACTGGGCGCCAGCATGGCCTTGTCCTTGAGGAGCACGGCCTTGTCCTTGAGGAGCATGGCCTTGTCATTGAGGAGCACGGCCTTGTCTTTGAGAACCACCTCGTACGTTGTCAATAAAGCGTGGAACTTGCTCTGCCTGCCTGCCTCCCTTCCTGCCCGCCTGCCCGAACTCGTACACCTGTTGGGGGGAAGGGGGAGAAGGAGTTGAACAGAGGAAGGAGTGATTGAATAGGCAAATCCCGTCCCCACACCTCTCTGCTGCCGTGATTCAAGGAGTGATTGAGATGGGGGAAGGGGACATAAGAGCGAGGCAACAGGGGGAGGGAGGAGGGAAGGGGACATAAGAGCGAGTCAGCAGGGGAGGAAGGAGGGAAGGGGACATAACGGCATTGACTCACACCTCTGCACCACACCTCACACCTCTGCACCACATCTCACACCTCTGCACCCCCATCACCTCTCTGGAGGCGCGGTTGCCGACATAGAGAACAACATTTAGGGAGGGCAGCCAGCGATAGCATCGCGATCTGCACAGAACACTCCTCTGCACCACACCTCACCTCTCTGCACACCTCACCTCTCTGGAGGCGCGGTTGCCAACGTAGAGAACAACGTTTAGGGAGGGCAGCCAGCGGCGCAGCTCCCGCTCCCAGTTGCTCATGGTGGAGAGCGGCACCACTATCAGGAACGGGCCCTGTATCTGCTGCATGTGCTGCATGTATTGATGGGGGAGGAGGGGTGGGGGAGGAGAGGAAGTTGAGGAGATGGTGGGGGCAGCCAGCGGCGCAGCTCCCGCTCCCAGTTGCTCATGGTGGAGAGCGGTACCACTATCAGGAACGGGCCCTGTATCTGCTGCATGTGCTGCATGTATTGATGGGGGAGGAGGGGTGGGGGAGGAGAGGAAGTTGAGGAGATGGTGGGGGCAGCTAGCGGCGCAGCTCCCTCTCCCAGTTGCTCATGGTGGAGAGCGGCACCACTATCAGGAACGGGCCCTGTATCTGCTGCATGTGCTGCATGAGCGCGGGAAAGGGGAGGTATACGGGGAGGAAGGGAACAGCGGCACCACTATCAGGAAGGGACCCTGTATCTGCTGCATGTGCTGCATGTATTGATGGGGGAGGGGCGGGGGAGGAGGGGGGAAGTTGGGGAGAAGGTGAGGGCAGCCAGCGGCGCAGCTCCCTCTCCCAGTTGCTCATGGTTGACAGCGGCACCACTATCAGGAACGGACCCTGTATCTGCTGCATGTGCTGCTCTTTGGAAAGGGGGGGTGGGAAGGGGAGGGAGGAAGAATGGGGAGTGGGGGGCGAGGAGAAGGAGGGGAGAGGAGAGGGAGCGGGGCAGAGTGGCGGTTGGAGGGGTTGGGAGAAAGTTGAGGAGGAGCAAGAAGAATGGAGCAGAGGGAAGAGGAGGACGAGACAGGAGGAAAGAATTACAGAAAAGCAATCAATCTACAAATGTTGAAAAGACCAGAATTAACAGTTGAAGGGGAAGAGAGGGTCAAGGAACGACGAAGAGGGGGGTTTGGGGTGGGGGTGGGGGCTGGGGGTGGGAGAGGGAACGAGCTGAAGGGGGCTAAAGAATGAGAATACACATCCCATCCGCATGCATCCCATCCGCATGCATCCCATCCGCATGCACCCCATCCGCATGCATGTCATGCAAGCATGCATCCAAGCAAGCGCATACAAAGAAGAAGCCAAGCATGGAGACAGACTGCACGGTCTTGCCCAGCCCCACCCACATGCACCCTATCCACATGAACCCCGTCAGCAAGTGCAGTGAACATACATCCCAGGCGAGCATGCATGGACATACAAAGAGAAAGCCAAGCATGAAGACGGACTCCACGGTCTTGCCCAGCCCCTTCCCTCCCTCCACCCGCCCCCCCACCCCATCCCCCCGGCCACCCACCAACCCCCGTCCCCATCCCCCCCTCCACCCACCCACCACCCTCTTCCAGAAGAGAAAGCGGGTATGTATCCCACGTACAAAGAGGAAGCCGAGCATGGAGACGGACTGCACGGTCTTGCCCAGCCCCATCTCGTCCGCCAGAATGACGCTCGTGTCCTTCATCCAACTGCCACGGGCACAGGCATGCCACGCACATGCACACATGCACCACGCACATCACATGCATGCACACAGGTATGCATACATGCACATTTGCATGTCACGCACATACACAGGACAGGTGTACACATGCGCGCGCACACACAGACGCATGTACATGTATGCACATATGTACACACACACACATACTTATAAGCATAAGCATGGGCATACACACACAATGTAGAAGCATTCTCGCAATAAGGGAAGGGCAAAACTGGACACAGAAAGAACGAGTGACACAGGCCTCTGTGCTCGAGCTGAACTCCCTCCCCCTCCCCCACTCCCTCCCTCCCCCTACCCCACTCCCTCCCTCCCCCTCCCCCACTCCCTCCCTCCCCCTACCCCACTCCCTCCCTCCCCCTCCCCCACTCCCTCCCTTCCCCTCCCCACTCCCTCCCTCCCCCTCCCTCACTCCCTCCCTCCCTCCACCTCCTCCCTTTCTTCCCTCCCCCCCCCCACTCCCTCCCTCCCCCCCCCCACTCCCTCCCTCCCCCTCCCCCACTCCCTCCCTCCCCCTCCCCCTCTCCCTCCCTCCACCTCCTCCCTTTCCTCCCTCCACCTTCCCCCCGGCCTCCCTCCCTCCACCCCCCTGTACCCCCACGTGTGGCGAGTTGCAATGCTCCTCCCCCCCCCCTTCGATAAGAGCACCTGTGGATGAGGAAGTTGAGCCCCATGAGCTGGTAGTCCCTCAGCGTGCCGCCCTTGAGCCACTCTCCCTCCACCCCCCCCGCCCCCTATGCTGAACGGCAGGTATCCCCCCCACCAGCTACCCTACCTGTGGATGAGGAAGTTGAGACCCATGAGCTGGTAGTCCCTCAGCGTGCCGCCCTTGAGCCACTCCGGCTGCACCTCCAGCTTGCTCATGTCTAGAGGGAGTGAGGGGAGGTGGGATGGAACGGGGACCCAAAGAGAAGGGCCGGGAAAGGCAAAGGGGGACGGGGAGGCCCCGGGGGAGGGGGTAACGCAGGGGTGCGAGGAGGGCGGGGCGTGGGGGTAGTGCAGAGGAGACAACAAAAAGGGCCGTGTGGAGTTAGAGTGATCAATGGATATTGGAAGGGGCGGGAGGGCGGGCGGGAGGGGATAATGCAGGGAAACAATACGGGTCACATGGAATAGAATAAGAGGGATCAATGGACAAGAGACTGGAAGGGGCGTGGAGGGCGGCCGGGAGGGGATAAAGCAAACAAACAGAACGGGTCACATGGAATGGGAGGGGCCAAAGGACAGGAGATTGAAAGGGGCGTGGAGGGCGGGCGGGAGGGGATAATGCAGGAAAACAGAACGAATCACATGAAATAGAATGGGAGAATCAATGGACAGGAGATTGGGAAGGGCGTGGACGGCGGGCGGGAGGGGATAAAGCAGGGAAACAGAACGAATCACATGGAATAGAACGGGAAGGATCAATGGACAGGAGATTGGAAGGGGCGTGGGGGAGGAGGGGCTCGAACACACGAGATTGGAAGCTGCACTTAGTCTGAGCCTGCACAACTCAACCTCCCCTTTGCCCATCCCATTCCCCTGCCCCACCCACTCTCCCCTGCCCCACTCACCCCAGCCCCACTCCCCCCCCCCTGCCCCACTCCCGCTGCCCCACTCCCGCTGCCCCAATCCCCCTGCCCCACTCTCCCCTGCCTGCCCCACTTGTCCACGCTCTGCCCACACGCTAGCCTTACTTCGGCAGCTCTTCCGCTGTGCTTCCACGCTCTTGCCCACCACCAGTGCTCCCGCCTCCCTCGCCTTGAACTCGTCTATTGCATCCCGCGCACTCTCTATGTCCGCCTCCGCCTCCCTGCACCCAAAGAGAAGAGGTGATGGAGAAGAGGTGAGTGCAGTGCCTTGTGAGTCGACTTCGGAAAGCCCCTTCCATTTGACAAAGAACTCGTGAGCGTGATGGTAGTGAGGCGCTAAGGGTGGTGAGAGAGGGATGGTGGTGAGCCAAACACACGCACCAAGTAGCTTCGGAGTAGGAGAGTCCCTTCCACTTGACAAAAAACTCGTGAAAGGAATGGTGGTGAGGTGTTAAGGGCGGTGATCAGCACAGCAGTGAGGGTAAACGGGCGCACCAGGTAGCTTCAGAGTAGGAGAGCCCCTTCCAGTTGACAAAGAACTCATGAAGGGAAGGCGAAACGGTGGTGAGGTGTTAAGGGTGGTGATGGACGGTGAAGAGGAAACGCACGCACCAGGTGGCTTCGGAGTAGGAGAGCCCCTTCCACTTGACAAAGAACTCGTAGCTGCTGACCTCATCGCCCTCCCGCCCCGCCTCCCCTGCTGCTGCCTTGGCTGGCCGTTCCGCCACCACTCGGTCCACCTGCGAGTACTGCTTGAGCAGGTCCAGCTCCATCTCTCTGCCCACGTTCAGTGCTTCCACCTCCTCCGCTGACACGCTCAGGCGGTACCGCCTCTCGTCGTCCGCCCGCTTCATGTAGTTCTGCACCTTCTTGAACCCTGGCAGCTGCGAGTGGGAGGGTGAGATAGGTGAGAGGGTGAGAGAGTGCAAGTGTGAAAGACTGACGGGTGGAGAGGCGGTACCGCCTCTCATCGTCCGCCCGCTTCATGTAGTTCTGCACCTTCTTGTTTCCCGGCAGCTGTGGGTGGGAGGGAGATGGGGATGAGAGGCTTGGTGAGGGCTTGACAGGCAGACAAGATGCGGTACCATGAAGAGGGATGCAGTAAGGTGGAGAGGGATGCAGTAAGGTGGAGAGGGATGCAGTACGCTGAAAAGGAGTGCAGTACCGTGGAGAGGGTGGAGATGGGCAGCCAGTCGCAGTGCAGAAACGAGCGTCCCTTCTACTTGACATACAGCTCCTGCTGCTCCCAGTCAATCGCCTCGCTCACATCATACTCCAACACACATGGTCGGCCCCGTGGGCTGCCAGTCAACTTGAACGTCTTACCGTGGAGAGGGTGGAGATGGGCAGCCAGTCGCAGTGAAGAAACGAGCGTCCCTTCCACTTCACATACAGCTCCTGCTGATCCCAGTCGATGGCCTCGCTCACATCATACTCCAACACACACGGCCCCGTGGGCTGCCCTGCTGCGCGCATCTCAGAAGTGAACTCAAACGTCTTACCGTGGAGAGGGTGGAAATTGGCAGCCAGTCGCAGTGCAGGAACGAGCGCCCCTTCCACTTCACATACAGCTCCTGCTGCTCCCAATCGATCGCCTCGCTCACATCATACTCCAACACACACGGCCCTGTAGGTTTCCCTTCTGCCCGCATCTCCTCACTCCGCCCCAGCGGCTGGTGCCACAGCACCCGCTCCACCACATCCCCCTCCGCCTCTGCGTCCGCCTCCGCCCCCTCTGCTCCGTCCCCTGCGGGCAGCATGTCTTCATCCTCCTCCTCGCCCTCCTCCCCCGCTGCTGCAATGCCCTGCGCTCACACAGGTGCACTGACATTAGTGAGTATACAGTGGCATGGATGCACAGCTAGAGACGGTACAGCTAGAGACGGTGCAGCGTGAATGAAGGCACAAACTTCTAGCGACGGTACAGCTAGGCACAGTAAAGCTAGAGTACAGCTAGGGACAGTAGAGCCAGGAGGAAGACACAGCTAGGGCGCACCTTGAGTTTCTTCTTAGCAGGGGGCGCCAGCTCATCCGCCGAGTCCTCATCATCCTCAAAGTATGACTTGCGCGGCACAGCCCTCCGTGACATGCGCGTCTCCCTCGCTGCCACCCCCGCCCGCCCTCCCCCCTTCCCTCCCCTCCCCTTCCGCCCCTCTCCCTCGCTGCTCTCACTCTCCGAGCTCCCCGCCCCGCCCCGCGCGCGTTTCCTCCCGCCCCTCCCCCCGCCCCCGCCTGCCGCGCCAGCCCCCCCTCGCCTGGCCCGCGGCTTTCCCCGCTCCTCACTCTCGCTCCCTGACTCGCTCTCACTTCCAGAGAAATCCGACGAGCTTTCGTCGTCCCCCCCACCCGCCCCTGCCTCATCATACGATTCACTCCCGCTCCCTGCCTCCTCCTCCTCGTCCCCCTCCCCATCATCATCTGACGACTCAACAGTCCGCCGTCTCGCATTCGAGCGGTTGCTTGCCCGGGTGCCTCTCCCCCCACCCCCTCCCCCTCCGCCTCCGCCTATTCCGCTCCCGGCGGCGGGTCTGGGGGGCGCTTTTCGGCGGTTGTTGGGGCGGCGCGGCTGGGGGCGGCGGGAGCCGCCGCTGCTGCCGTCAGACGCGGAGGAGGACGCGCTACTGGAGTCAGACTCATCGCCAGACGACGCGGGTGAGTCGCGCTCCTCCTCCTCCTCTTCTTCCTCTTCAGCGTCGCCCTGATATCGGACAGCAGCGGACGGGCGAGGCAGAACAACGTGTGAGTCAGAACCGCAGGGCGGCAGGGGCTACTTTGCGCAGCAAAAGGTGAAAACAAAATCTCGAGATTGTCCGAGCTCACCTCGCTCCTCCCCCGCGCTCACCTCCTTGCCCCGGCGCGCTAGTTGCCCATTGGGCGCGCAGCTGGTGGGGTCGAAGTCCTCGTCGTCGGGGTCGTCGCCTGCACAAGAGCACGAGAGGACACGAGCACAAGAGCACAAGAGCCCACGGGGAGGCAGCAGGGCGTGGCATTTTAGTTTTGAGACGTCTCAATGCTGGTGGGGTCGAAGTCCTTGTCGTCCGGGTCGTCGCCCGCGCAATCGCCGACCGGGAGGCATCAGGTTGTGACATTCACACGAGTCCGCTGTTCCCGAGCCAACAGAGCACGGCACCACAGCGGCAGGCGTTTCGAAAAGGCACGAAGCTACTTCTGGTTGTTTAACAAAGGGGATCGAGGCAGGCGCACCTGCTTCATCCTCCTCCTCCTCGTCCTCCGACCGCTCCTCGTCCTCCTCCATCTCATACCCCGCCTCCTCGTCCCCCTGCCCGCCCCTTCTGCCGCTGCCCGATCCATCGCTCCCGCCCGAACTGCCCGACCCACTGCCGTCGTCCTCGGGCTTCATACCGCCCGCGCCAGGTCCCGCTGTACGCGCTATAAGAATCCGAGAATGTGTGCAGCGGACAATGCCCTACAGTAGAGCCGCAAGCCTGCTGTGGCGTTGACCCGAGGTCGATTCGATCTTCTGAAGATTGCGAGACGTTAAATACACGCTGAGGGAACGCAGGGCAGTGAAGGTACAAGGAAGGAGGCACCAGCCGGAGAAACCGTGAGGCAAAGAGAACAACACGGAATCATGGGGCCATGACCAAGGTGACAGCGCAAGCAAAGGGCCGAGAATCTCGAAAAAGGGAGTGCGGAACGGTTCCGGACTGTCAGATGCTTCAAATCCACATGTGATCGCATGACACGCCTATCATTAGATCCCGGAACGGCCCCGCCCTAAAGTTTGTGCTGGTGACCAGATCTCGGTTTCGGCCCTGATCGTCGACCTCTCCATGAAACGGAAGTGACAAATGGCGTTAGTCGGAGAGCACGATGTCAGACGGACCGAACGCACCAAGATTTTGAGCCGTCAGCCATTCACGGGGGTTGCTCTGAGTGGTCACTGTTTAGACACTAAGTGCAATATGGGCGGGCGATGCTGAGCTGGCAAGGATCTGAAACCCCACCTACCGGCCACGTGACACGTGACCTGACGCTTTCTTCTCCTAAAATAACAGGATTCCTTGAATTAGGGTTACGCTCAAACGGGTTAACTGCTTGCGGGAAACCAGAAATTAGGCATCCATATGCGGTCTCCGGGGATGAATTTGACGCGTGAACGCATCGGAGGGGCGCTCGATGGACCTAGGACGACGCATTTTTTACTATATAAAAATTAGGGTTGGCATGTCTGGACTTCTGGACCAGCAGGAAAGGCCTCATATATTCAGATATTGCGATTTGATAAGTCCGATTTGCGCGCACATCTAGGGCTCTGGAGACTCTAAGGACCTCACAGCTGACAAGTGGATGCTTTTAACAGCCAATTAAATCGATCCAATCAGGTCCGTGAGGCTCTAAGATGGGCCCGGAACAGCCATGAAACTCCCACATCCGCAGGCGGAACGGAGGGCTTACTGAAAGATAAGAGTCGCTACGAATCACACCAGGCCGCAGCGGACCGAAGGCGCGTCAAAATCGCCCAAGAAAACCGCTTGTGCGAACGCTATGCGTCAAAGCAAAGGAGCCGAGCTTGGGGTTTCCAGCTGCTGTCATGGCTTCCGTACAAGCTTTGTGTGAAACCACCAATATCAGTTTTCTGGCTTGTGTGCTTCTGCTCTCAGTGGCACAGGTGAGGCAGGAAGAGAGGCGAGGAGGGGGAGTGGGGCGGAATGGGGGGAAGCCGAGAGGGGTAGCGGGCAATGGGGGCCAGTGCGGAAGGGAGAGCCCAAGGCTCGGTTCGACCTTGGGGATGGCGGCAGGTCAGGGTGCGGATGACATCAAGGGCTGGAAATCTCCGATGTTGGAATATTCTGATAAAAAAAAAACAAGAGGCGACGAAATCGTCTTAGGGTTGCGAAGCGTTTCGCAAAAGAAATGCATTTTGCGCAACAATAAATGTAAATGTTTGAATTTCGTTTTCTCTTACTATATCTGTAAAGGTTTGTGCAACTTCTAGTATCGAGTATGACTTTAGTGTTTTTGGTAGAGGTTTGCTAAAGCTCAATAGTTGGCTTGCAGGACTCTAACCCGCAACCTTTCTGATCCAAATCGAATTGAAAACAACTGCGCTACGACGCTGTTGGTAGCATTTCTCTTTGCATTTACAGGACCTTTTAACAGCGCGCCAATCAAATTAGGTTTTGACGGTTTCTTTCTCTCCTCTCGCTGCGCTAGGTTTCTTAGACATTCTCCCGCTAGTCACGCTCCACCTACCAATCTAAGGTGAGAAAATTTTTAAGCTTTCTAGTAGAACTAAGTTAGAATATTAAAACCTAGACTAACATCTCCTAGTCTCGTCTCTTAGTGTCAGAATCCCAGTCACTAACCACTGGGATAAAAGGGCTTGTTTATATAGCGGGTGAGTGCGCCCATAACCCCCCAGGCCGACGTGCCTGTAACCCTTCCCTAGGATCATCGGGGATCCCCAGTGGACCTCTGACACCCCCCCGCACTGGGATGCCCGAAGTGCACACACCGGGAATCGAACCCGAGACCTTCGCTCTGATACCATGTCAGAATCCCAGTCACTAACCACTGGGATAAAAGGGCTTGTTTATATAGCGGGTGAGTGCGCCCATAACCCCCCAGGCCGACGTGCCTGTAACCCTTCCCTAGGATCATCGGGGATCCCCAGTGGACCTCTGACACTTAGTTGTTTAGAAGGGATGCGGATTGTTTAAGTTAAGGGTAGAGGCCGTTTGTAAAGACTTTACCTTTTTTCCTTGCCTTTCTGTCAGAATCCCAGCCACTAACCACTGGGATAAAAGGGCTTGTTTGTATAGCGGGTGAGTGCGCCCATAACCCCCCAGGCCGCCATGCCTGTAACCCTTCCCTAGGATCAATCGGGGATCACCAGTGGACCTCTGACACCCCCCCGCACTGGGATGCCCGAAGTGCACACACCGGGAATCGAACCCGAGACCTTCGCTCTGATAACATGTCAGAATCCCAGCCACTAACTACTGGGATAAAAGGGCTTGTTTGTATAGCGGGTGAGTGCGCCCATAACCCCCCAGGCCGCCAGGCCTGTAACCCTTCCCTAGGATCAATCGGGGATCACCAGTGGACCTCTGACACTTTCTTAGGTCCTAATCTTCGTCTCTTACTGCATATCTAGCATCTATTTCTTTTGTTCTTTATCGTTTCAGCCTTTCGTCGTATGCATATTTCACTTTTTGTTGTTCTTAGATCTAGAACCGTCATAACCTCCTATTTGACGCGAAGTCGCTTAAGGCCTAATATTTCTGTCGGTTATTCGTTATCTTTCATAATCTCATTGGTTTTCTTTCTCGTATGGCGTCTCTCTCCTTGTCCAACTTTCTCGCTCGTCCCCCTCCCCCTCGTCCGTCCACTTCTCTCCTTTGTCCGCCTCACTTTGTATCTCCTTACGCAAGTTTTACTTGAACGCTACTTTCTTCTCTCGTTCGTTCACTCTCTATTTCTCGTTCATTCTCTCGTTCGTTCTCCCTCGTTCTCTCTCTCTCGTTCTCTCTCTCTCGTTCTCTCTCTCTTTCTCTCTCTTACTCGTTCTCCTTCTCTCGTTCTCCCTCCCTCGTTCTCTCACTCTCGTTCTCTCTCTCTCTCTCGTTCTCTCTCTCTCGTTCTCTCTCTCTCGTCCCAATTCTCTCGTTCTCTCGTTCCCTCTCTCTCGTTCTCATTCTATCTCTCTCGCTATCTGTCAAACATATATGCTACATATTGTCTAGGCTGTAGTGGGGTAGCCCATATGGGGTACAACCAAATTAGGGTTTACTACTTGTACTCCTGCATGCCACTAGTTCACACATTCCTGCTGCTAGATTCTAACATGGTTTCAGAGCACTAAGGTCCGTAGGACCGTTTTTTTCGGGCCCACCTACCGCTGCGGTTACCGCGCTACCCCACGTACCTGCCTGCCTTGCCTTGCCTTGTGACGTGCTGCACATGCGCTGCCTCCTGCTGCCCTAGGCCAGCGCGCTGCCCCTAGAGGCCCGTAAGGCCCGCGCGCCGCCTCTACACGCCCGTCAGGCCCGCGCGCAGCCCGCTGCAGCCGCGCGCAGCCCGCACCGAGCCGCGCGCAGCTCGCAGCTGCCGCGCGCAGCCCGC